AGCTTGGCATTTTCCAGCGCAAGTACTGCAATCACAATCAAAAGCACTCACCAGTAACATGCGTAAGAGGGACTCAAAAGAGAAGCAACATCGCCTCATTAGTTTGAGACATTCATATACCGCACTACTCAAAAATTATGAGCAGACATGAGTCGCAGAAAGTACTGGCAGCTTTATTCTAAAACACGGCTTTACACAACTATTGCCCAACAAACATCGACTCACTGACACGCTGCTGGTGCCACCATCACATCTTCTTCTCCTTCTATGCACCTCTGAACTTTAGAGAGCAAGAGAGACGCCGTAGCCTCACACAACGGTATCCAGAGCATGGTGATAACCCAACTGGGAACATAGTGAATCCAGTGCACCAGACTGCCGACCAAGGCACGAGTTTCATACAACAGAGCCAACTGTTCATCGGATAGTCGCTCACGAGGTGCTTGATAGGCCAACCAAGCCAAGAGAATACCGTGGAGGATATAGCGCACACACTGTGCGAAAAGGCTGCAGACCAACTGCAGAAGAAAAGAGTGATTACATTGCCCCTTGAGGTATGGCAATTGAAAGAAGTGCAAACCTTTGTGCCTAGATGAGATCGGTCTGACTCAGCCTGTTGTCGGTCCAGAGCCTTAACTTTGCGCTCGAGCTTCGAGTAAACTGCAAAATTATCCACCATGTTGAGTTGGCTCATTTTTTTGCGAAGGTCGCGCACCTCTTGATATCTGAGTTGGGAAGCTCGACAATGAGCACGGCAGGAGGGTATGAGGTGGGTCGCTAACTTGGGCACGAGAATAGGAAGGAGAATGCCGACAAAACGGCAAACTATTATTGCTGCTAAACAGAAGGAGAGATAATGTATCCAAACAGAGAACACATCGGCTTCAGTAGTCATTGAAATCAGCGTCTCCGGTTGATGCATTGTATAAGTCGTTGTATACCTACTAAATCAGACCAAAGGATACGACTTACTTCGTTTTCGAGTGTTCGCGTAAGGAGCTGGACCTCTGCGATCTTGCTCAAAAGTTGACGGACTTTCGACAGACGGGTTTGAAAGCTTTTAGTGATTAAATGTACAAGTTTGGCGCTCTCCTTGCGGTAATCAGAGAGAAGATGTCTGGTAGCCTCGTCTTGGAGCTCCAGAGAAGCCTCTTCAGCGGGAAGGGAGCTAATTAACAGGTCAATTTGTTTTGCTGTAGTTGCGATCGCAACAGCAAACTTGTGAGCGTTATCTAAGCAGCAAAAGTAAGCAGTTAGAGTCGAATAAATGTGGGGAAGGTTATCCCTAAGAACGCACCTTACCTTCTTGACTTTGATTTTGTAAAAGAGCCTGAAACTCCGGGTTAGATGCCCACTCCTTCTCACGGCGGCCGTTGTGATTAAGTTCACGAAAAAGACTTGGCTGTGCAAGCTGTTGAATGACTCCTACTGCGTTGCCAAGGTTCTCAGCCTGCAAATTAATAGCGTCCTGCAACTCTGTCAAACGGTCGGCCATGTGCGGCCCCACACCAACCACAGTGAGTGAAAGGAGTAAGCTGAAGGTGTCCGTCGTGGCGTCAAGCTACGGAACACAATTATAATGATAAAGGGTGACGTAGGCCCTGAAAACTCATATAAATTCAGGATAATTGCTTGAAATTGAAAGTTTATATTGCAATCGAATCTCAACCGCATTTTTGGGCACAGCTCTACTAAAATATGTTTATGCCATGCAATGAGCTGGTTGCGTGTTTAGATCCTTCTTGCCAATAGATTATATAATACAGCGTTGATTCGAATGACTAAGTGAGTGACGATTAAGTGACGGCTACCTGGCTTCTGCAGAAATGTAGGTCTCTGATCTGGCCATTGGCGTAAGACAAAGCCCAAATTCTTCCACTTTTATCTCTATGCAAACATTCCTTCAGACTTGCTATCTTGTCCAATATAAGAGAAAGCTTTGAAAGGTTGCGATTATGTCTACCTGTTTTCAACTGGAAGTTGTAAGACGCTATAGAGATAATGCCAAGTCTTCCCACCAAATAAAAGACATTAAATTGTGCCGAATACAAGCATTCTATGAGCATAACAAATAGTTATGCTTTTGCTTGGCCAGAAGGATGGTCCATATGCGCTAGAGTAAAAGGAGTACCAAATTAGCCACTATACATTTAGACGGGGATATAAACAGAATAGCTTACTACAGATGGTTATGCCATTGGCATTGTATCATTGCCAATGAGCTCAAAATGGAGAACCTTAGATAAGAAATTTGGCATAGTCGGCTTAATGTAAACCAGCATAGAACAATGAACAAAAATAGGAGACCTTAATATAGGTGAAAGGTGAAGGGTTCCGAGTTTTTACGGCAAGTGGGAGAAAGAACTAAGTGGAAATCAGTACATATGCTTGTAGCGTCCCGAGACATCTCACCGGGTGGATGATTACATTAAGTGAAGCTGGATACATGTATTCGAAAGAGGACAGAACAAGTGAGCCTGGGCATGGATCGAAGGCCAGCCTATGAGTAAAAGGGCTAGACAATGTGGCGTTCCGAGGCCTCCCATAGGGTGAAAGAAGGCATAAGTGAGGTTGAATACATGTATTCCGAGGACGACAGAGTAAATGGGACCTGGGCATGGTCCAAAGTCCAACCCACGTAAACAAGGGCCAGACAAATCCTTAAGGGACCGCCAAACGTCAGGTAATCACATAAGTAAAGCATTACACTACCACTCTATTCTTTTGAGCGACGTTCTCGGCGCTCTCTGTAATGCTTTATTTATGTGACTGTTTGACGTTTGGTGGTCACTTTAGAACTTGTCTAGGCCCAGTACACGTAGGCTGTCCTTAGGGCCACGCTCAGGCTCCCATTTCTCCTATTGTTTTCGGAATACATGTATTCAACCTCACTTATGCCTTCTACTACCCCATTTGGAGCATCGGGACGCTACACTCTCCTTGGTACACCTCCCACACCAGACATCACAACATATTCGGTATTACAATAAAGCACCCACGACACCACCGCGCCAGTCGACAGATAGCATCAGACTAAAGAACCGTACATGGTCTCCTCGGCAGCCTCAACTGCAGCTATAGTTACGCTCGGTCTGACAACCAGATTCGGGACCGCATACACCTCTTGACCATCAATTTCTTCCACAGATAGAAGGTGGAACTCTGGTCCACAACAGATTTGTTACAGGGATAAGGGGACGGGCCACTGTCTCGCATGTGAGGAGAACCGTGGTGTCACTTCCGACGCCTAAACACGGATTTTGTATGAGAAATTTCGACACAAAACTTCTCCAGATGGTTCACGGCGGTGTCGCTTCAGTTGTTAATAACTTGTCTGTGGAACACGAGAATCAGGTGAAACCAAATGCAGACGTCAGTTTGAATCCTTTCTTTGTGAAGGATTCAGGGATTCGTCGGCCACCAAGGTAACTGTGCCTCCTTCAATTCACGTCCCCATTTCGCCTCTATCTTCATCTACTGCACTTCGATAGATAGAGCCAGACTTCCTTTTACGCATGTATAGCTCATAATTGCCAGTGCACAACACCAAAATGCGCTTATTAATCTTGGATACTTCACTAAAGAATAGAATTCCTTTGCAGTCTTTTCTGTTGGTTGGATTATATCCTTCTAGTTGTGAAAAGAGAGGTTTGGTGATCCCGGCTAAGGGGACTCAGATCTCCGGATTCTGTGCGATTTGTAGGTACTGAACCAGTGCATCATCCGATCGAGCCATTGCTCGTCGGTTTGTTCGCACTGCTCTTTTCAGGAAATCAGTAGATTAATCGGCAATGCTTAGCTACACAAAAGTAGGATGTCACTAAGACAGCGTTGTCCGTTGGCCACTAGATTTTTCCGGACACTATGGCGCCTTTAGCAAGCGACTGCAGAAGGTATTCAAAAGCACTTTATACCTAAAAGTTATTTAAAAAATGCCGAGTTTGCTTTCCGCTGCCCTCAGTGTAGCGTTCCGAGGCTTCCCATAGGGTGGAAGAAGGCATAAGTGCAAATGAATACATGTATTCCGAAGACGACAGGGCATGAGCATGGCCCAAAGGCCAGACCACGTGTACAGGAACCAGACAAATTCAAAAGTAAACGTCACACATAAAATAATCACATAAACAAAGCACAAATGCTATCAGGGGGGAGGCATTAAGGCCTGAGTTCGATCCTAAAGCCATTTCACTGCCCATCTACTCGTCAGAGCGACGTCCTTGACGCTCTCCGTAGTACGAATGTTGCGTCATCTATCACAACATATTCGGCTCTGCAAAAAAGCATCAATAAGCCAGCTGCCCCAGTCATCAGCTAACATGCGACTAAGCAGCAGTACTTGGTGTACTGCTTTGTATATGTGACTATCTGACGTTTGGCGGTCACTTTAGAACTTGTCTGGGCCCTGTACACGTGGGCTGGCCTTCGGGTCGCGCTCAGGCCCCATTTCTCCTAATGCTTTCGGAATACATGTATTCAACCGCACTTATGTCTTCTACTACCCCATTGGAAGCCTCGGGACGCTACACTGGGGGCAGCGGAAAGCGAACCCGACATCTTATTATCGACTTTTAGGTATAAAGTGCTTTTGAAAGCGACATAGTGTGTGGGAAAATGTGTTGCCCAACAGACATCACTGTCCTAACTGACATCCTACATTTGCCTTACTAAACTTTGCCAATTAGCCGACTGATTTCCGGAAAAAAACAGTATGAATTAACCGAAGAGCAACGGTTCGATCGGATGATGCACTGGCCCAATACATGCAGATACCCCAAAATCGGGTTCCCTTGGCCGGAAAGTCGAAATCTCTATTTTCACGACATGAAGGTTATAATCCAACCAGCAGACAAG